GGGGAGTGGAGCAGCTGGTGCAGGCAGGAATAACATTGGCTCCGGCCAAGTTAGTAAGTTATTTGCTWATTATAAAAATAAATAATTGCTACTACAGAGTCTATTTCCAAATATTTAGTGAACCCCGGCGCCCTCATCAAAGGCAGCGGTAATACAGTCAGCAGTTTATTGAATGTGAATCCTCAAGTGAATGCGGACGTCAACGCTTTGAATTCCGTTAAGCAACAAGCTAATGCTGAGGCCGGAGGTGTTGCTTCGACCGGTAATAATATTGGAGGTAGACAGATACGTAAGTAAAAAAACTGAAGAAGTATTACTTTTTCAATATTTTCTTTGGGGTGAATGAGAATGAGATTTATATTTTTTAATCTTATGCTATTTTCAAAACCTAGTAGTTCGACAGATAGTTCCAAAATCTTTAAGCTTAAGTTTTGTGGAGCTTGCACTGTCTAGAAATTGTGACAAAAGTCATAATCACTCAACTGCTGAAAAGATGTTGACGATTTAATAATCGTGGAAACTACGAAGAAGGTCTTATTCGATTAGTTTGTTCTCAGCAGTCTCGCATATAATTAAAATTTTACCACAAGTTATGCTGTGATCCTCTACGCTACCTTCTAATACCTAATGGAGTTTTGTGCGAACTACTTGAACTACGATTCTCCATGTTGAAGACTACTTTTGGTTTTAGCTTACTTCAAAAGCGCGCCATACTAGCGCTGCGCCTGCTAACTATGCGCTCAAAGTTGGTACATACGTTTTTTCTTCGCATGCCAGTTCACATCTTTTCTCAAAATCTTTTTGGCCAAAAAAAAAAAAAAGAATACATGGGATCTACTGAGCTACTTGCCATAGTAAAGTTTGCAAGTTATCAAAGTCTTGTGGAGGAAGCCGCCTGACAATTTTTCCTCGATTGTCCAAACCTTGCTTACCTTCGGCGAATCAGAAGACATATCCGAACCTGGCATTACCCATCTCAATGAATTTATGATAGTCCCACAGCGCTTTGTCGATTTATGAGGATCCTATTATATATAATATAGGTGTTGTATGTAATGCAATGAACCGGCATTCCAAGCTGTTGAAGTGAGATCCGACTTAACCCTATATACCTCAAAAACTGTGAAGGAAGAGAGATATTATAAATTTCATATTTTGCGATTACTGAAGGCTATTGTAAGTTTTAAGAAAATACCTGAGAAAGTTTAGCACTTTTTCGTGTAGAAATACCTCCTTTCCGCAAGTAGAAATGCTCCCAACATTACAGATTGCTGCTGTACATCAAAAACATTTTTGGTTTTTTTGGAAAACTTATCCGATAAGCAGTCTTTTGTAGATTTTTATTTAATAAAAGCACATTCTCGGTTTTCCAGAATCAGCAGGCGCGGGTATTGTTGGTGATGGCAACACAGTTTCGAGTCTCGCTAATGTCAATCCACAAGTTAATGCTGGTGTAAATCTCTTGAACGCTGTTACACAGACTGCATCTGGAGCAGCTGGCGGTGGTGTTAGCGGTGGATTACTAGGCGGAGTAGGAGGTGCTGGCAATAATATCGGCGGCAAGCAAGTCAGTAAGTATTTACAGCTCTAAATGATATAAAGGAGAATCTGTGAATTTGTCAAAACTATTTTCTTTTATTGTCTTGCAGTGGATCAAGGCACCAGTATACTGGGTAGTGGTAATCAAGTCTTCAGTCTGCTAAATTTAAATCCTCAAGTGAACGCCGATGTGAATGCTTTGAATACGGTGAAACAAGAAGCCGTTGGTGGTGGTGCTGGATCTGTCGGGACTGGGCGTAAGTAGACTTATAAAATTTACTTATATTAAAAGTTTCTAACAGTTAGCGCTTTGTAACGAATTTTATTAAAAAAATTTCAGAACAAACTGTGACCCATATTGTTAGCGCTCCCGGAAATACAGTAACGAATACCGGCCAGCTCAATCCACAAGTGAACGCATGCGTAAGCTTCATTAATGCGATCTCACAATCCTCTCATACCGTTCCAGTTAGTGGAAAGATTGTTGGTCATGCAGTTGGGGCTCCTAACAGTATTGGAGGTCAGCAAGTCAGTAAGTATCAGGTTTAAGGGTAACTAAGAAAAACGTAAACACTAAGAGCGAGCTCTGCCTTGTATACTTAATCAGCTGTGAAAAGCACGTGGGAAATTCGTTGTTTGTGGTTACTGTCCCAGGTTCAATCTTGTTACGGAAGAGAGACTGAACCAGGATCTACCTGGATCGAATATAAAATGTGTGGTGGTGTCCCTCATTGAAAGACTTATTAGACCTGCAGGTCCGATTATAATTAGAAGGAGATTTTCTCTGACCATATTTTGAAGAAATCAGTAATCGAAAATTGTACCGACACTATTCAGGCTTCTTGAATTCAACTCTTCACTCTCTTCCTAATAAATGTTTATATAAGCTAATATAACTAGCTCTAGTCGTATGTTGAAGAATTAGCCAACTCTAATAAACAAGACAATATGGTTTATTTGTTATCTTCGGCTCTTCGATAATGAACAGTCCCCTACTTACTTCTTCTATTAATTTCCCAAGTTTCATATTATCTTCAGGTAATTCTGGCGCCAAAATAGTTGGTGACAAAAATGTGGTCTCCAACTTAATTAATGTGGATCCACAAATAGGTCTTGGTCTAAATCTCTTGAATCAAGTTACACAAACGGTTTCCGGCGCTACCGGTGGCGGTAGTGGTGGAAGTGCTAGCGGAAAAGTGGTGGTCTTTTGGGGGGTGTAGTTAATAGTGCGGGAGGTGGTGGCAATAATATCGGTAGCAAGCAAGTCAGTAAGTAACGTATATAAGTCAACTAAAAATTGTCAATATAGAATTTTAAAGAAAGTCTGTTGGTGTAAGTCGCCCTGCCGTAGTATCAGGATTGGTTGGAAATAATATTGGCGGCACTCACAAAAATGTAAGGGTTCTTACGCGCAACAAAAAATTGAAATTCTCATTTCCTTACAGCAACAACAGGAGCTCGCATAGTCGGCGATGGCAACACTGTTTCGAGTCTCGCGAATGTCAATCCGCAAGTAAATGCTGGTGTAAATCTGCTAAGCACAGTTACGCAAACCGTTTCTGGAGCCACGGGGCGAACTGGTGGTGGACCTTTAGGAGGTGTTCTTGGTGGAGTCGGCGGTGCTACGAACAACATTGGTGGCAAGCAAATTAGTAAGACATTATTTGTGGAAAAAAAAATAGTTTTATTCTAACTGTGTTATGACTTTTAGTGGACACCGGTACCAGTATTGTAGGTAGTGGTAACACGGTTT